TTTTGCCAGACCCCTCGTCAAGATCCAAGCGTCATTGTTAATTGCTTCTATCATTTTGCTGATCATCCTTCTCGGTTGTTCGCGACCATCGGTGTTGACATTGCTATCCCTGAAATTGCTTCTGCTGCTGCTCATGCTCCTCCTCTACCTTTTGAGGAGGGGAGTACATTCCTGCAGCTGAGGTGGCTCCAATGGGAGAAGCCATCGCCTTACTTCCATCCTTGCTTGAGGAATTGAAGATTAAGAGGACATTTTGCGGATGGAGGAAGCCTTGGACTGTACTGTCTGCCTCGCATCCTGGGGATCGAAGAACATTGGGGGTCTTTAATGGTGCAAGATTTCCTCGGTCTAACAAGACTAGGGTTCTTCTCAGCGAAAAAAGGGCTTGTTCGGATCAACTACGTACCGAAGTCCGAAGTGATCAGCCTCATGGCTGAGGGCGCGGCAGCCAAATCTATGATCGCAATCACAAGCTGTTACCCCTGCAGCCGCAGCAAAGATCAACTCCAACCGGTCAAAACTCTTCACTCGAAAGCCAAAGCATCAGCCCTCAAAGAGCCAGCTAACCTCAACCCCTCCACCTCGTACGACTTCCCGCTTTGTGCTATCAATTTCCTTTCGGTATCTCATGTTCTGTTTACCAATGCCCCATCCATTTTCCAAGCATAGCTGTGCGACTTGCTTGCAGCTTCATCGGTAGGTAGTTGTCGGTAATTTATCGAAATAAATATAGACATATGTGTGTGTATATATATATATATGGCTATGCATGTAGAATGCATATATAACTTATGACCCCACATCTAGGCTCAAGTCCAGTTGCTTTTGCGAGCGAAGTGTCCTACATATCCCTAAGCAACCCCTTGCTTTTCCTTTCGCGCATGCTCAAGCCACTCATACACTTAATGAAGTATAGAAATCTGAGAGGCTGTTCCATCGCAACTTAGTATGAGCTGGAAGACAGCTTTTTCGACATGAGTATCGCGACGATCCATGTAGTAGCCCATGATTGTATCCTGCCATAATCTAGTAGTGTCCATGTTCTTGTCCTTCAACCTGTGTGAACTTAATCACCAGCACCACCGGTGGACCACTTTTTAGTTGTAACATTGAGACTTCGAAGCCGGGCGCACGGCAGACTTTTAGCGTTTTCGGGTGTTTACTAGAAAGTGGCCGCTTTAGGACAGGTAATAAGGGCAGTATTTTTGACTGGCTTTTCGGTATAATCCAATTTGGTTTGGAAACATGTTGGTTCCAATTTTTCCTGTCTCAATCTGGGTAGGGAACAGTTTACAAAGCCTCTCTCAAATGCTCTTGCCGGAGGAGAGGGTCCTCCTCAATTCACTAATCAACCCAAACCATAAACCCTAAATCCGAAACCCAAAACCCCAACGAAGTAATTCATAATCCGCGGTAATCTATGAGTTGCCATTTGCTTTTCCATTTCCTCAACCCGATAGCGGCTTCATGGGCCCTAACCCAGTACTTCCCAGGCCCTAAACCATAGCCCCTAAACCCCAAACCCTAAATCCTAATCCCTAAACCTACTCCAGCAGTTCCTATCAGGAGGCGAGAGCTGTGGCTAACGCCTCGGCGGACGAAGCCCGGCAAATCTGCGAGGCCTGGGACCCTCCAAGGTCACTTGAAAGGGATCTATAGGGGATCTATAGGGGCTCTTTAGGGGATCTATAGGGGATCTTTAGGGGATCTTTAGGGGGATCTTTAGGGGATCTATAGGGTATCTATAGGGGATCTACAGGGGATCTATAGGATGAGGCCTGGAGACTTAACCCCAACTCTAGACCACAAAACCCCATTATAGTAGTTTCCATGTTCTTTTCCATTATCCCAATATAACCCCAATATACTGCAGTAGCTTCCCCCTAAATCCTAGACCCCAGAGGGATCGGGTTTAGGGTGAGGCTGGAGACCCTTTAAAGGGGCTACGAAACATCCATGGGGTTTAGGGCTTAGGATTTAAGTGTTTCAGACCTGGGGTTCAGGGTGTCAGGGTTTAGGGGTTATAGCGGGATGCATACGGTTTAAGGTTTCAGGGTTTAGGGCTTTAGGAGCCTAAATACCTGGAGAAAAGTGGAGAACCAATGGAAAAGAAAGTGGAAAGCGCATGGACAGTGGATTTATGTAGGGTTTGTGGACGTGTACAAGCCTGAACAACTACCAACACTATTCTCCAAGAACGCTTGTATTGTATGACCTTATTAGTTCTTCGTAGGGAAAATGGGAATATAATCTATGATCCCCATATAACATATTCCCTTATTCCCTACTCAGAACCAGCAAGTAGAACTGTTGCATAACATGCCCAAAGCCCTATTCTGGCTGTTCAAGACGCTAGAGTCAGAAAATGGCAGGTTTGTGGGAGTTGGTGGTTTTCCAAAATTAGAGGTACTTTTTTGGGGGTCTCCATCATAAGGACTATAGCATTTTGGGGTTTATATTGGGGTCCCTCGGTTTTAGATGACTAACACTTAGTAGACTATGTAGAGGCTATGTTGGACGACAGAGGTTGAAGGTGTGTATGGATTCGCAGGTCTTGTTTCGTTCAGGGGTTTGGGAGTTTAGGAGTCTGGGTTTTAGGGTATACGGTGGAGAGTATTTGAGCTTCAGGCATCGGATTCAGGGTTGAAGGACTGCCGCAAGCTGATGCCTCACTATGCCTTGAGTATCCTTCCGTCTAGAAATGAAGTCGCTGAAGAGGACACAGTGTATTGCTTCAAGCCAATGTATCAAACAAGCTTCCTGTTTCTGTAGAGGCCTCCACACAAAATGCAACGGTGGTGATTGCTTGTGCCGCCACTCTCACAAGACCTTGCGTCCATTCCGAAGCATTTTGTTGTTTCTCAATCAACCATAGGATCCTTGCATAAGGACATGCAAAAGGCCCGCTAGTCTTTGGTGGTTCCCCCGAATACAGTAGCTGTCACGCCCAAAGATCCGCAGACGACTGCTTTGGAAGGAGATTCGGCGGATCAGCGACGGAAAGGACAGCGTCACCTTCGGTCAGCAGCTTAAGCAATGCCACTGTGGCCGGAGCTGTGGCAGTTTGCACTAGCTGCTGCCTGAGACTGCAGAACGTAAGATCGTAAATTCCCTTGCCACAACCTCATCAATAAATCGCCGGTTTCATTGTTCTCCCCTTAAACCAAATCGCCATGGCGCAACTTGGGCAAGGGGGCATGGATGGCGTGGTTGGTAGAGTTAAGACATAGCCGCCCGTTCATGGGCCTAAGATCCACCTATACTCTTACATGCTGGTTTCCGGAGATTTCGGGGTCCCTTATTCATGGAACCTACCATGTAGTCGCACTGAGGTGTAGCTGTATATTTTGGAAGAGGTTCCCCAAACGCAGTCCCCTCATGGCTCAGGTGAGCTCATCCAGGCACTTGGCTGCTTTCGGATCTTGAATCCTAAGAGTTGGATACCGCAAAACTAGCTTGCTAAGTTTTTAATCCAGACCGGAACTTCAAACAACATGGCCTGTGCAAGGCGCTAGCAGTTGAAAATTTGGTATTGCAGCACCTCCAAATCCGCTGCGGATTAAGTAAGGGTTGGGGATGGTTCCGGGTCTTCAGGGCCTGGGGCTTGAGTCAGCGCATCAACGTTGCATAGGGTCCCACACTGACCTTCAGGATAAGAAGTAGGGTCTGTCCAAGGGCTTCTAAAGGTTGCATGACATCGGCCCCATACTCGCGAAACCTTTTTGGTAAGCTGTTAGGGCTAATCTCGGTCCTACTCTAAACGACGGCTTGCAGACAAAACCCATTTCACATGAACCAGAGCCTCGCTTGATCTTTCACCTTCACCGTCCACAGAATTCGGATGAACTGGCTGGCGAAGAGACAGCGAACAGGACACAATGACTATCGTGCTTGAACTACAGGATAATAGAGCAAACTGACATGGATCAGGCCTTGGTCTCCCATGCCATGTTCAGCGTCCAACGCAGTGGCTCCAGAAACACCATGCGGCTGCGCAGCCGCGAGAATCCACGTCAACAGGGTTGGCCGTTTCTTGAAGCTCTCAGCATTGGCGCGATCCTACAATGGGTAGGGAAGCTGTGCCCAAAGGTGTCTCTCGGACAACGCAAATATTGCAAACCACTGATGTGGATTTTGAGTGGATAGAAGTTCAACACGCTAAGCTTTCAAGCGTAAACCTTCACTTGGAAGCCGCTATGACCTGAAGGAAAGTCGCTCCCACGCTCTGGTTCCCTGCAACTGTACCCCCTCTCATCACCAGACAACCCTGGTCAGGATACCACAGTAGAAGGCCGGTTCGAGGCCCTCCTTGGAACCCTGAAGGCAGGGGCAGGGGAGGTAGTCGGATCATGCGGTGTACGGCGAGGGGGTTCTAGTCTTGTTGCAGGGCTTGGGGTTGAGGCTTGTAGTTGTGGTGATGCACACTGTCAGAATCGTCCATGGGGAGAATGATTAAGCATGACGGGTGCCATGCCGACTAGTCAAACTTGCTACAGGATGTTAGCGACTTCCTGCGCATTTTTTGTGTTTTTGGTTTAACAGAATTCTTTTTGCAGCTCTAGCAGCCAGGGACTTGCCGTGGTGCAAGCATGAGTAGCGGAGTCCTGGATCTAGTTTCGGGTTGTCACGCTTGGGCTCCTAGGAGCAATACTAGGTAGCATTGAAGACACGTGTGACTTGAATCTAGTAGGCGCTGCGGACATGCACGCATTAAACTTGGTCTTCAGCTTCCCTTGGCACAGGAGCAGTTGCCGCAACAGGTGGCTCCATGAGCTTGTTAGTTGTTAGCAGGCATGGAGGAACAAAAATGACAGGACAGAAGATGTCAATTCCTTTCATGTTGAGGAGTAAACTATGTAGGGGCTACTGTAGGGACCCATTGTTCCATTCATCCTGACAATCAGTAAGTAGTGGACTCCAGTTAGCATCTTTACCTACTCGATTACGTTTAGAGTCTATAGGCTTAGACATGCAAGGCACAGAAACCATCATGCCATTCTATGATCCCCGAATTGCTGTGTGTATTGTCCGCCTTTGTATTAGACGCATTTCCTGTGAACTCCTGTGAACCCGAGGTCAAGGAAGCGGACCCTCCACTTCCTCCTAACGCCGAGCTGTGACCTCCCGAGTGCGTAGTGCAAGCATCCCAGGCTGCCAAAAAGAAAGGCTTCCTGACTTTCGAGGGCGAGCTGCTCCTTCAGGCAGGAGTTTTTTCGGGGCTATGGGGGTTTGGGGGTTCCTGTTGCTTGGCTCCCACCTGGGGAAGCGAGCACTCATCGTCGGGTTCAGAAGATGCAGCGGTCGTTTTTTTTCTGAGATCGTCGGTCCAATCCTATCCACATGCGTTGCCGTACCCTTCAAGACTCTCTATCTAGCCCACTGACGTGGGTCGCTCGCTTGGACCCCAGAAGTGCTCTTGGCGCAATCTTGGCCAGGGGCAGCACGACAATGTTGTGATCCAGCTCAGCGGAAAGGCCGTGGCAGTTGCAGATAATGGCAGCATTCATTCCATGAGTATTCCATGCAAGTCATAGCAAGCTTTGATCTTAGACGTTCGCGGATGCAATCATCATACAGCATGCGCTTCTTCAAGCCATGGCACGACGCCATATCCACGAGGAAAACGCTGAGCGTTTAGCCCTAGTTGGAAGGTCTTCCGGCTCGGGCCAGAACTAAACACGCCCAACAGCCGGACTGAAAATTAGCCAGTCCAGTGCAGCCAGGGGGTCACAACCAAAGTTGACCCAAGCTCTGGCTGGCCTCATCCAGCCTTCAGCGCTGCCACGGCCCATAGGGAGTGGCGTACGCGTCATCGGGGAACCTCTGGACGCCGATCGGATCCCGTCAGGGCTTAGCATTTGGAGCATCGTCGCATGAGCCTTGCAGAGTTTACTAGATCTCAAAGATCTCCAATCAATATTGAGGTCGTAATTGCTCAATCCTTCGCTGATCTTCCAACACTAGCTTTGATCCTATGTGATTTGCAGAGTTCGCCGCCTGCAAAGGACAGGTCGGATGGACAGGAGCCTTCCGTCTGGCTGCCCAGATTCTCGCGGTGAGATAGCAATAGAGGGAGGAGTCTTAACATGTTTGAGCAAAGGTGGCATAGCACATGCCCTGCAGGGTTGGGGCCGCATGGGCGCTTAGACAGCGGCATATGCAAGCGTACCTGAAGCAAAGCGCAAGCGCAAGAAGCAGTTGCAAACGCTTTGCAGAGCCCTGACCCTGCCGGCCAGGACACTGCTCCCACTGCCTGGCACTCAGCACAGGATTACGCTTCACGGTCAAATTTGGCCGGCTTGCTGAGGCACCCGCGGAGGAGCCACCGGCAGAGAAGCCAGCTGCAGAAGAGGCAGCTGCAGAGGAGGCACCCGCTGAGGCGGCGCCTGAGGAGGCGGCGCCCGTTGAGGCATCCGCTGAGCCCGCAGAGGCGGCGACGAAAGTCGAGCAACCTGCGGAGGTGCGCTAGCAGCTTGTGCACGTTCCTGTCAACTGTCACATGACTGTTGAGGTTCCGGTAGCATCGCAGCCCGCGGCAGAGGCCGAGGGTGAGGCCTGTGGTTTGTCTCGCATGAGATCATGTTGCAAGTAATTACCAGCCTCCTGTTTCTCCGCAAGGGCTGAATAGTTCTGATCGGCAGGCACCGGTTACGACGTCGGCCAGCGTGAAGAAAACTGAGGCTGCTACTTGTGCCCAAGAAGCGCAACATCAAAGAAGTTCAATCACGATCACAAAGTCGGCTGTGCCCGAAAGGCTTAAGGCTTAAGATTATTGATCGAAGCCCTACAGGCATGTTCTCCTGTGTTGGTTAATGCACGTTGCAGGATGGCAAGTGGAAAGTGGACACAGGGTGCCCGCTTCATCTATTGCCACCTTACTTGTGATGCTGAAGAACGCTGCAAATTGACCAGGTACATCGACTACAGGACCAAAGACCCTAACCGCCTGGAGGCTTGGGCAGCATCGCTTGGATTGAATGGTCGAAGTCTCTGGCTATGCCCATAATCTTTGCCCCCTAATATTAAAGGGCTCCCACCCTAATGTAAATGCTCTCCCATAGAAGCCCAAGAATAAAGCAACATGCCCGCGGAACATGCAGGAAGCTCGCAGATGGATGGCAAACCCAGCCATCAGACATGAATTGAAAAACTGACCGGCATATAAAATTCATGTCTGGTTGTTTCCAAAAATGGCGCGTCAGGAATTCATGAAAGGGCGCATGTTTGACCCCTCCGACACATACGTCGATACATACCCCGATACATACCTCGATACATACCTCGATACATACCCCGATACATACCCCCACAACGTCCATTTCGTCAAGAGCCCCGCACTACGAAACATGCCGCCGAAACATACCCCAATCCAAACATGCTGTTTTGACCACGGTCTAGCCGGAAACACAGTGTACGTATATCTGGTAGTTTCCCAAAATCGGGGGACCCCAATATAGACCCATAAATTAAATACTGTACCCTTATTGTAGGGACCCCAAATCTGGTACCCCTAATGCATGGAAAGTACAGCCAGCCTTTAGTTTTGCAGGATGTCAAAGGCATGGCCCAGGTAGTCAGCAAAAGCAATCAGGACAACAAGAATGTTAGGTGAAGTGTTGAAATTTGGGAGCACTCAGGTAGCACTGTAAACAAACATGCTCTCCCGCAGAACAAAGGCCCTGCCACCTCACAAGCAAAATTTCTTGTAGGCTGCCTCCTGGCCACTGGTACAATCCAGAGTGAAGAGTACCTTCCATTGAATCCCAGTGTGCAACCCTTCATTGTAGCAGTCTGCCCGCCCCCTTTGCGCAGAGCCGGCGCTCGGTGATGGATAGCGAGCCTGCGAAAGAGGTGGTCACCCGCCGGGAGCTTGAAGGGCAGACGCGTTTTCTTAAGTCTAATGCTTTCAAAATTGTCTTCCAGGGCTCCACCTGATCCCACTTTTGTGAGGATCAGTACATGTACCCGCAGCAGCTTATCTTCCGGTGATTTCTGTCATCCGCCAACCAAAAAGCGCAGCAAAAAGCGCAGCAAAAGCAACCGGGAGACCTGAAAAGCTACACCCCCAAGCAGTCAAGATTCTTGCAAACTGCTTTTTTTCGACCTGGACACTACAAAGCAACACCGTAAAGGTCAATTGGTAGCTTGAGCTGGACTCCAGAAAAGTCAGACTGCTCGTCATGGCCATGTCTCCTTGAGCAGAAGTAAGCAGTGTTGATTGATGCTCGCACAGTTGTGATTATTTCCGCTACGATTCACCACCGCTATGATCCCATTACTGTTACCAAGTTACTTTGGCTTTACCGCAAGTACTTGATAGACTTGTTACCGGTGTTACAACTTTGCGTGAGAAGCAGCTCCACACTTGAAGCCTTAGCCGAGCTATTCTGGAAACTGGAAACGAGCTGCGCTGAAAGGAAGCGAGCGGGATGAGGAGGGAAAGTTCAAAGTCGACACCTCGTGCGCCAATTCCATTATGGGCTGTCAAAAACAGGAACATCCGCTCCCCCTAGTCCTGTATCACGCATCACGGTAAACCCACCCTAATTGTTGGTTCGATGTGCTTGGCTTTTGCAGAGCTTCTTTGATGAGTGCAAGTGTCTCAACCACGGAAGAATCCCAAAGCCCTGAACGCTGGAATCCAGGATCCTCAAGGGCAACTTGCAAAAACTAAAACCCTAAACCTCAAGCCAAGTCCCAAAACCATCCAAAACCATTCACGGAAGCCGTGGTGGACCCTTTAACAGCAAGCCTTGAGACTGCAGCACCATGAGCAGATCTCCACCCTGAATCCTTTGGGGGCTAGGAGGGAATAAGGGAATACATTGGGGCTCTATAAGGATACTGGAGAAAACGGAAACTGCTACTTTATAGCAGGGTATCTATTGGGGTTACAGTAGGGAACAAGGGAATATAATCCCTATATAATCCCTATATAATGTATTCGCTTATTCCCTGCAGACCCCCAGTAAGAGCCCCTGATCAAAAGCACAAAATCTTTCATCCTTCGCCGAGCAATGCCCTGAAACAAAACCCTAAACCGCTAAACTTTCCGGAAACCCTAAATCCTAAACCCACCTCATCTTGGAAACCTACTTGCTCAAAAAGGGTTTAGGGTTTAGGCGGAAGACCTGCGGCCCCGACCCCAGAAGCCATCCCCACACCCCAAACCCAAAATCTTACTGGTGCTTGGTAGGGAATAAGGGAATATGTTGGGGGTTATATAGGGATGATGGAGAAGAAAAAATAGAAACTACAATATACATTGATTATAGGGGATTGTAGGGATTGCATTCTCTGATTCCTTACTAAGCCCCAGTAAGAAGTCCAGGTACATCAATCACCGGACAGGTGCCGCGCCTGCAGTGAGGGGCTGCTATCCTTGAGGAGTAAGACTGGAGATTCTGAAGGATGCAGGTTTCATTTTGTGGGACTCAAGAAGAGGGTCGCGCAACTCAAGGGGTGGATAAGATGACCCAAATGTGGAACATCACCCCCATTTCTTTTGGTAGGATCCACACATATCACAGTGTGAGAGAGTAACATTCTGTCGTGGCTTGCTTACCGAAAAGGTTGCTGCTCGTTTGGTACCCTTCTCTTGGGATGTGTGGACTAAATAGTTGTTGGCTGAAGGATTGCCAGTCAGTGTATGCATGAGGTCAGAGCGATGGGATTACAGGGACAAGCCTTTTGGAACATCAGGTAACTTTGCAACTCCCGATGCTTCCCTTCCAGTAAGCAGATCGGCATAGTATCATGGGCTTCCTCGACCCCATGTTCTGTACACTCTGCGCTGTTGGGATCAAACGGGATCTCAGTTTGAACAATATACTTGTCTCTCAAGAAGTATGTTGTTGAAATAACGTTTACACAAATTACGTATGGAGAGGTATAGAGACTTGATAATCGGGTGTCAGGTGTGTCGTGTAGGGAGGCTTCGAACGCACGGTGTTTAGAAAGAAGTTAAACGCATGACAACTGGCTGTCAGGCAGGTCAACATGTGGAATGCACATCATCGCTCCATGGTTCTTGTGTACTGTAAGCCTCGTCTTTATATCCCAAAGTCCCTTTAAGCATGCCCGCGATAATACCTTATCACATTAAGAACCCTGAGCTACGGAGGCGAGGTGGATCGTCTGGAGGGCCGGCGCTCCGTCCTTGGGCAATCACCTCAGAGATGCAGGTTTGACAAAATGGTGCCCCTAAAAACCCCATGGAATCATAGGGATAATGACTGTTAGTACTACTGTTACTGGTATTGCTATTATTACTATTTAGTACTTGTCTATGAGAATGACGAGATTGTCGGTGTTGTTTTAAGTATGTAGACGTTATTCGAGAAGCGCGCAAGTGGCCAGGAGGACATCTTGGGGCTTCTACACGAGCATGCAGAAACATTATTCATGTGCTCACGGTGATATACGAATAACAGCAGCAACAGTAATAATAAGCGGTCAATCTTCATCATGATTCTACTACTGTTGATGGAGGAGCGGCTGAGATGATGTACTGATGTACAAACTACAGGATACATAGGCAAGTGACCATGGCGTGAAGTTTAGGATGCGTGCCAAAGTCTACCACTACCACCACATAGGCAATTGACAATGCGGGTGTTTGTTGAGGGTCGCGGACTGGGGTGTCCCTGCGGATCTGGAGGTTTCCGAAGATGCCTCTCTGCGGGTTAGTAGGGAATAAGGGAACATACTAAATTGGGAATCGGAATATGTAGGGATTGCAATATTGTTAACCAGCGAGGGGCGTAGGGTCTTACAGTGGATGAAGGCAATCTTGCACGACTTAGGATCCAAAGCATAGTGTGGTTATTGGGGTATAGTCAATATTAGGTGGTGCAAGACCCCCTCAATCCACAGTAGGAAGCTCAGGATAGCACAATTGGCTCGCTAACAGCCTGAATCCTGGCAACTGCTAGCAACATTCCCGGTGTTCATCTACTAGCTAGTTCTGGGAATATATTATATAGGCATGCTGCTGTATTGGGAGGTCCAAGGCCTGGTAAATGGGCCCCAGAGCCTGTGGTGGGTACGCAGCTCATAACAGTCAAGTACCCACACGTATCAAATAATACCATCTCCCCCTACAAGGACACTAAAAGGTGATCTAGAGTTTGAAGGTACCATCCCCCCTCTAGGGACATAATGAAAAGGCGGATCTAGAATACAATCTTCTCCAAAGGGGGGCTGGAGAGCTGGTTTCCTCGCACTCAGCCACGGTGAAGAAGGCAGGGAGTCCAGCTGGGTCGTTGAACTTGACTTGATGGGAAGAGGTATGGGAGCTACGCCTCCTTTTGGAGAAACCCTCTGGGGAACTTAAATTCCTTCTGCAATGAGTTCTGTCTCTCTGACTTTTGCTTTCTCTCTCTCTCTCTCTCTCTAACCATCCTCGTCCCACCCCAACCCCTCACTTCAGGTGAATTGCATTTCAGTCCGTTATCTTTCACAGTGCTCTGCGGGCTGTAGCCGTAGCCGGTACCCAACCCGCCAGGACGATGGGAAGTGGAAAGTCGACACTTCGTGCGCTGCTGCCCCTACTTACTGGATGCTAGGAATAGAAATTGCAAACTAATCTATTCTTGGAGATCATATAGGGACTACTGTACGGGTGAATCCCTTTACGCCACAGTTTAAAACAAGTACCTGTACTAAGAACCATCCTCGGGTATATGGGGGATCCCACAAGCATAAGGAAACTCTCAGCCTTGAACCTACTGTTTCTAAGTAGGGAAGAAGGGAATATAATCCCTATAGCATCCCTCTATAATCTATTTCCTTATTCACTACTAAGCCCCAGTCAGCAGCTTTGGATGTCGGGAGGGACACCTGTCTAGGCCGTACTCAAGGGAAGGTCCTGTTGATGAGGCAGGTACAGTGCGAGGTGTGAATCTCCGTGTATCAGAGGGGCGAAGCTACGGGTGTTGCAGAACCTGTTCTTACTTCTTCTTTGCGAACGGGCAGAAGTGCTGTGGCTAATGGTGAGTATGAGCGAGAAAGACATAACCTTGCAGCTGCCGTTGTCGGTATTTCAAGCGGTTCAAATGAAGGGAAGAAGACGAGCGTGATTTTGTAGAGTGAGCTGACGAGCACTGAGGTTCATTTTTGCTGCTGCGATCAGCCTCGAATGATCTTAGATCCTCCAAAAGCCAGCTTGGGCATGTTTTCCCCTAGCTTTCTAGGTGTTAGAGCCACCTGTGTCTGGCTGACATTTCGGAATCTTGGGCTGCATTCCAATGTTTTTGATTCTTTCAGTCCAAGCTCGCAAGAGCGGGAGATAACGAGAGAACATTTTAGTTAGATTAGAATGCGCCTTTAGCTTTCACATCTTTTGTTGTTTGTTCAGGAGCCTCCTTGCGAGTCCGGCAGCACTTGGCCATTCTTTGCTTCCGCTTTTTGCTCTTGAAACTGGACTGGCCTTCAGCATGTTTTCTAATTCTGTTGCTGTTTGCACAGTGCAGTGGCCCTCGGTGGCTGCAAAAGGAACGGATGATGTGGAGCAGCACTTGAAACAGGCTTCAGTTTGGTCCCCCCCTTCCCGCCCCCCAGAAAAACTCTTTTTCAGAGACACCTTTTCTGGAGATGGGCTGATACACTTCGGCTGCTTGTCGTCCGTGACTTTGTTTGGCATTCTACAGCGCCATCAAGCCTCAACCTAGTGGTTCCTCAGCGATACGCCGCGCGAAGATAAGCTCACGTGAAGTGCGAGGAAAAATCAGGATGATCTTACGCCTTGTCCTCCTTTACCTTTGGACTTGCGTCATTTCACTGAGCTTGATTCTGCCAAGCACGCAGAGAAATTAAAGTGCGGTAGAGTTTGCTGCAAATCTAGGCCGCGAAGCACTTCTTGCGCAAATCTTTGATGCAGAGATCCATCTAGTGGGCTGAACAAGCTCTTAAAGCGATCCAGCGCAGCGGATGATGAAACCTTGGGAAATTGCGGGACATCCGTGGGCAGCGGGGAACCAAGAAGAGTGGATTGAAGTAGTTTTGTGTACCAGGGTTCTAAGTTCTAAGAAGTTGAAGATAAGCTGGGAAGTAGGATCTTGCTGGAGTGGTACGCTTGAAGCCTCGACTCCGAGCCAACGGGGGGCAGCATCAAGAAGAACAAGCTGTCCAGCGATGCCAGTTTTTCAGCAACGACTCGAGAAAAAGACGTGTTTTGCATCCCGCGAGGCCTTACTGAGAATTGCGCGCGTAGGATTGAAGCCGTGAATCAATCCGTCCCACATGCTGCGGTTTCAGCATTCGCTTCATGCTCTCGTGCATCTGCCCTCTCGTCTTTCTTCAGGGCTCAGTTTCTTAGGCATCTTATGTCTTGTCGATACCTTTCTCAGCTCTCTCAGAGGGTGGTTTCACCCCAACACAATCCTCTTCTCTTTGGCCTTGCCTTGCCAATCATGCATACCACGTCAGCGGGTCCGCGCGATGGAAGCGATTGCTGCTACTGGCATAGCACAACTGGCGTCTGCCCAATGGGTCCAAAAGTCTCACAGAAACGTCTTGGATGAAGGCGACAGGCCAACAGTCCATCCACGTCAGTTGGAGCTTTTTTGTCTGTTGCAGCTAAGGAGAGGAACTACACGAATCTCAACCATGGATCATATGGAGCGACTCCGCTTCCTGTTTTGCAGGCTGAGAGGGAGTGGCAAGACATCATGGAGCGCAACCCTGATCAGTGGTTTCGATTCGACGGTTCGGCTCTTAGTTGAAGAAGCGCATATGTTACAGAGCATTCAAGAGAGGACACACACTCACCCGCACGTGCACGTGCACGCGCACACGCACACGCGCATACATGCATGCACGCACAGGCACCTCAAGTACATGTACACTTTCAACGCCGCAAGCAGAATGCATGTATTGACCTTTTACCAAGGGCCAGAAACGCTCATTGGAGCTGCTGACTTGGCGCGCTCTCAAGTAGCCGAGTATGTGAAGGCAGATGCGAGAGATGTGGTCTTCGTCGATGGTGCTTCTGCTGGTGTGAATGCTGTCCTGCGCTCCATCAAGCTTCCACCTCATTCGTCTATTCTGTATTTGAACACTGCCTATCAGATGGTCAAGAATACGATCTCATATGTCAATGGCGAGCAGCAGGAGCAGTCCGTGCAAGTAAATATTTCGGTTCCAAGCAGCAAAAGTGAAATCCTGGAAGCGGTCCAGAATGCGTTGGACGTTAATCCTTCCGTAGAGCTAGCCAGCTTCAGTCATATTACAAGTGTTCCTGCAATCCTCCTACCTGTGGAAGAATTGGTGCAGATATGCCATCAAAAAGGCGTCATGGTTTTGATCGATGGGGCACATGCTTTGGGCCAAATACCCTTGAACATTCCAAAGATTGGTGCAGATTTTTATGTGGCCAATGGGCACAAATGGCTTTACAGTCCGAAGGGAAGTGCCATCCTGTGGGTTGCAAGGAACAAGCAGCACTTGATTCACCCCAACGTGATCAACGACGAGGGCAGGGGCTTGAGCTTTTTCCAATTGCAGTTTTCTTACACCGGTACCAAAGACTACAGCGCCTTTCTGGCTATGTCTGCTGCCCTGGAGTTCCGAGAGACTCTGGGAGGAGATCCTCGGATTCTTGACTACATGTCCACCTTGGCTGCTGAGGGAGGCCAACGGCTGGCCGAGGCCCTGGGCACTGAGAAGCCCATGCCGACCGGAGGCCTGGCCATGGTGAACGTGCCTCTTCCACAGGTGGCCATGAACTGTTGTGACATGAAGACCGCGCAGAGAGTCCTTTTGAAACACCGGACCTTTGTACCATTCTACCTGTGGCAAGGGCAATGCTTCGTCCGGGTCAGCGCGCAAGTTTACAATGAGGCTTCTGACTTTGTGTACCTCGCAGGTGCCTTGCGGGATGTCCTTCAGCATGACTGTTTGCAATCTGAAGTGGAGATCTGAGCAGCTGTCGCACCACATCATAGCAGTGCGGCGAGGAGCTGGATGCTTGCGTGGAAAGTCATGGGAACTGTGCTGCCCGCAAACTTGGCGTTCCATGCAAGAGTCGGATAGCGGATAGCAGTAGCAGGACAACGTCAAGTAATGGAAGCAGAAACATTTAGCAGGATCAGCAGCAGCAGCAGCAGGCCTTGCACTCCCAGCAAGCTCCAAGCAAGAGAAAATCAAGGCAGCTTAAACATGCTGAGAAGAGAATTTCGATGATATTAGCACAGCTTGGAATATAGTCCCACTGAGGTAGATAGAATATTGGATATAAGGGGATCTTATCATGACATTGGCCGATTCCATACTCTATCTACTTTAGGGGGACTCTGGTGGGATTCATGTGCACATGCCTCCTGCAAGGCTTGGGGAAGCTTCCTGAGTGATTTCTACATCTTGGCTTTAGGGGAACAGCCCTCGGGGCCTTGCTTCTTGAGAAAGACATGAGCCATAGTCTGAACTCCTTAAAGGAGGGTTATATGGGGATTATATAGGAAAGTATTATACTGTAGGAGTTATTCAAGGGCATACCAGGAGTTTAGACTATGGATCATCTGGTGTTGACCTTTTGTGGTGCATTGGCTTCTCTGGTCCGAGACACCTTGCAACGTGCTGGTAGAAGGATGGGTGCGGTAGCGCCATTCTCGCAGGTATATTGGGTACCGGACGGGTGACACCGGGAACCTTACTAGAAAAGAGGAGGCTCGGCTTGCCATGTGGCGTGCTACTGCTGATAAACTCGGACAGTTGAACTGGTGTGGGATGGGGCAACAGTCATTGTTGCTTTGACTTTGCTCAGGCTCGACAGAATCTTTCAGGTGTGCTTCGTTTCGGTATTCTGATAATCGTTGTCTGGCTTGACGGGCTGACCGAGTGTGGGTGAATAACCGATGAAGTGACAGATACCATCCGCACTGCCCTTTCTGGGGGGCTCTCGATTTGTGCGGTTGCATTCCCGGTTGATAAGGATCCTTGTCGTGCCTGGTACATGCATGAACTATGCATTCTGTTTTCATGATGATGAGGCTTACTGGAGGTTAGTACGGCATGAGGGAGCATACTATCTAGGGATGATGCGCCTTTATTCCCTACTAAGATCCAGCCAGATGAGGGGGAGGAGAGAGAGGAGGGGGAGGGGGAGGAGCCACTTCACAAGAGCATCCCTGAAGCGCTGAACCACAGCGTCAGAAGCATCGTGTTGCACGCGCCAGCGAACTTTGGAACAGGGATCTGTTCAAGGTTTAGGCAAAATCCATGCATTTAATCAAGCGGTTAGGTTCTACTACAGTAGTTCCTTTAACAATATCAGAAGTTGCTTGGGGCCTCATCTACATGTAACTTGACTTTTGCGAGGCTGCCGAGCAAGGTGGGGGGTATGCGGACCCCGCGAGCAAGAAATACAGCCACGAGGCAGCTGAAGGGTTTGGGGTTTTGGGAAAGGTCCATGTTTACCCATTGATTAGTGGAGGAATAGTCCTTCTGGCAGTCCCTGGATATCTATAGCTTCTTTTCTAGTCGTTCGTACCCTACTCACAACCGTAGAGCCTAAATCCTAGATACCTCAGTTTCCATATGTTTGATTTTCCCTTTGCTTGTCCCATTCCGAATATGACCCCGAGTGTCCGTCTCAGTTCCATTTGCTGGCCCATTCATATGATTTCCAGTTTGCATTGGATTTTCCATGTTCTCTTCGATGTGGTTGTTCGTTCCCTACTAACAGAGGGGTGAGCGCCAGACTTGGCAGTTTCAGGGTTTGCCGGCGACCCCAGTCACTTACAATTTTCTGTGTTTTCCAAATAATGGAGGAGTAATTCCTACTAATTTGTACTAAGTTGTAGGTAATTGGGGGTACAGGTGGTGAGTGCCTGATCAGGACTGACGCTCGAGGGCTGTAGATTTTGGATTCTGGTGGGTCATCAGTGGCAGCTTCTTGGATTCTTGTGGGTTCTGGGCTTGGGTTCATGACCCTATAGTCCCCCTCAAGTAGATAGAATATGGCTTTGGGTATATTACAATGAGATCCCCATATACCTCATATTCTATCTACTGAAGGGGGACCCTAAACCCAAACCCCTACAGCTCCAAGAGTTGAGTCTGTTTTTTGGAGGTTGAGACTCTTGTTCAGGTTCACGCTTTGCTTGAGCTTTCGTGAGAAACTGTGGATTTGGGCATTCAACCCTGAAAACCAACTTCGTAAGAAACCTATGCAGACCCTGTTAAGTTTTCTTCAAGAGCCAACGGCCAGGGCCTTCTCAGATGCTTAAACGTAACCTTGAACCTCAAAGTCCCGGACTCCGAGGAGCTCAAGGTCAGCAAGGGCAGACCTGAGGACGTGGACCCCGCAAGGCGCTGCTGGCCCTGAACAGCAAAATCCTGACTGCCAGTACTGCTGTGGATAATAAAACTCCTGCATGACCCTAGGTACCTTATACTTTGGGAATTATGGTACTATAGTATACTAAGGTCATGCAGGATTTTTAGTATCAACTGTAGGATTACAGAATAGAGTTCAGGGCCAGATGTGCTGTTGGATGTCTAGGGTGTGGAATCTAGATTGCAATAGGTCTCAGCGATAAGTTCACTCAGCTCTTCAGAAATACCATTCCCGGTTAGAATGTAATTAATAGCTGCCATTCTCTTCTCCACTATTCCTATATAACCGCAACAGTCGATGCTGGTGGCTTGGCATGGCCACGTTGTCAAAGCTTGCTCTGACACGAAACCTAGAAAGCCCAGTTTTGCGAGAAGAGCCCCAAAGACTTACTGGTGCTTAGCAGGGAATAAGGGAATATAATCCCTACACTACATAATATATTTCCTGATCCCTTCTATAGCCCCAATATATAGCCCCAATATATGCCCTACTGTAACGCAGTGGTACTTTCCATTTTGTTTTCCATAATCCTTATAGAACCCCAACATATTCCCTTATTCCCTACTAACCCTCAGTAAGAGCGTGCAGCAGGAGAGAGGCTTACCTTTCTGACGAAGACTTCAAGGCACGCGGTCCTTGCTGAAGACATGCTGCACCCTTCGCAAGTATTGTAGCTTCCGAAAGGAGGTTAAAATAGAGGTACACTTCGTTAGACCTCAAACCAGCACTCTGTTTCGTTACGAGCCCACATTAAGAAGCAAAGACACTCCGACTTGCCATCGTTTCGAGGCCGTGTTTGGCATGCCCCTCGCAGACTTCAATAAACAGCCAAAGTGGAAGCAGCAGAACGCAAAAAAGGCCGCTTCCTCAGATTCTCAATGGCTTCTGTGAGGTGTTGGTCTATCAGCGTCGTCACCATCCGGAATTGCACGTCAGATTGCCTAGTGAAGTACTGTAGTACTGTACTGTACGCTCCAACCTTGTATACCTGCAAAAAACATCTTGAACCCAAGCTCAAAAACACTGCGCCATCCTCTGGTCCTCATGTTCCTGTCAGGCCAAAGATCTTTTCTGACCAGCTGACTAGCCTGAGTCTCACGCCTCAGCGAACCTCCGATCGGTGCAGGCGCTAGGCAGCGCTGGTTGGGAATTTAACTTGAGGCTCTTCTTAGCTCCTGGTAGGTTTCAGGCGGGAGGCAACTTGCCGCTATCACAGAACCCTGGAGGCAGGGAATAGTGAACCCGCCAATGATCTCTTGAACAGAAAGGGGCTTGCTAATTCATTTTGCTTATTGTGCTGCTGGGTTGCAGGTAGCCCCCATGCTACAAGCCTTTTCTTATTTCAATGGGGCATGGGCAATGACTTGCAGGGGCTCTCTCAGAACCTGGCGCGCAGAATATATTGTTTAAAATTATACTAATCTATATCTACGCATATGCGCAATGAATCGGTTGGATTATTTTGTAATATTTTTCTATATTATGCCTCATCTCTTTCTCTTGGGCGAGTTGTGCGGCAATTCGAGAGAACGCATAGATCTCTCTCGCGATGATTTTCAAAGATATAGAAATCATGCGGAAGGGATAAGATCGCACGTAAGTCTCGACGAATAATCAATGTATAAGATCTTGCGTGAGATGAAATGGCGATGCAATTAAGAGATTCTGAAAAAAATGAAATTCTATTCCGGGTCTATACTGAGCCGCTGTACAGATAGACGAAGAAAGAGAAATGATTCGAAATATCGGGAGATCGGGTCGCATGATCTTTATTTATCTCGTTTGGATTATTTGCGCGCCGGTTCGGAGAGGACGCATAATTTATCATAGATAGACGTGAGATATTCAGAAATTCTGACCCTTTTGATTCTTCGTGATCTATACGCTCCGCGGACCAACTAATTAAATAGGGCGAAGAAAGATAAATCATGCGAACAGTTATTCCGGAAGCAGATGCCGCACGATCAAATTCCGAGATTTTTGGTCGCGATATTTAACTCCAAAAATCTCCGAGACTTTTGAATTTCTAAAGTTTCCGAAGAGAGTCGGAAAATCTAGATCGCGCGCGAATGAAATGAATATAGATGATTGCGGTATAAAAATTTGAAATATATTACGATTGATTGATTATTTAATGAAGATAATGAAGAGCAAATATCTTATTTCTCATAGAGAAATTGGGCGAATGAGATTAATATATATAGGATGATTTCTATTGAATTTATATCACTGAATATATATATATATTCGTATAGATTTGGAAATGATAATTCATTATTTTATAGATCGTCAAAAGCTTGATTGATTTAAAGGAGGCGAATATATATATATTATTGAATTCTAAAATTCTCAAAATTTCTCTCTTTCTATTTCTGAATAATAGAGATATTGATATAGAATGTTTAACCGATATTTTTGATATCGCTTGAGATATTGAGAGGTCGAATGCCGAGCTATTGATGAGAATTTGCGCCGAAATATTGGAATTGCCTATCAGATATTGAATTATATATTTCTTTCGTGATGCAGAAATATGGAAATAGCGGACTAGGGATAAAACTCAGAATCCGCGCAAAACTCATGATCGTTCTATTCAATTCTTATAATCATATTCCGAAGGAGAATGATCATAGAAATTGAAATGATGCATATTTTTTATCGATCATAGAAGATATAAAAAGGATAGATATTGGATTCTTGATATAGGGATTCTGATTGGAAAACGATAATATAATATTCTCCAGAAACGATAACGACAATATATATCTCGAAAATTGAAAAATGATAACCTATTCGCCAATTTTCCGTTGACCAATTGCCCAGACCTTAAACCAAAACCGTGTATCATATCAAGATCCCTTGCGCAGGATATGATGATTCTGAATCTGAGGGGATAGAATATCCCATTTTCTCATTATTTCTTCATTTCGTAGGAGGGTCCGCTTCTGCGTTATTAGTTTTCTTTCTTTTCGGCGTCTGCCTTCTCGTCTAATTCGTGGCGGTTGATGGCGGGGTTTCACGATTGGAAGGCGGATGCCGAATCTTTTTATATTTCATTTTCCTTCAAATGAATATGGAGATTTCTAATTAGATTTCTTTTAAATCTTGAAGAACGAGATTTCTTCCTTTTCATTTGGAGATATCTCTTGAGATATGATGGCGACGATCTCATTCATAAGGTCGAATTCGTATCTTGAAGATTTCCGAGATATTCTCTCTCTATTTCTTTTTCTCTCTCTATCTCTGAAGAATTCGAATAGATATATAGATGTTGATCTAGATCTTTTCTGATGATCTGAGAATTCTTGATATGAAATGAAATCTATAAAGATTATTGAAGAAGAAATTTGGGGTCTAATGAAATCTCGAATCTTTTACGATTTCCGAATCTTTCTTCTCTATCCCTCTATCTCTCCTTCATGATAGATCAAATCTAAATGACCAAATCGGTATGCAATAATATAATAAAAGATATATAACGATCTATCTATCAATTCATCTATCATTAAAAATGATTTCATTATCATATTATCTATTTTTCTTCATAATATTTTGAATATATTAATATGAATTATCCTCAGAATTCTAGAATCATTCCTTCCAATATTCATTATTCTTATCGCTTTTGGACGGTCGCCTTATCGTTTTACAGGATTTGATAGCTTCGCATGAAGAATATTATCGATTCCCAGGATTTTGGGAATCTGAAGGATTGCCGCTTTTGATCGGTCATCATATCGTTTTGCAAGATATATATAAAATCTCAAAATACGAATTAAATCCAAGAATATATGGTTATACGGAATCTAGTGTCTATTGCTCAAATATAAGATAAAATTGAATTTAATATATGATTTTTTGATTTATTTATATCATATAAATATGAGAGCTATGAATTCTAGGATTCCAAAGCAAGTAATGAGCAGACGTAAATATCTCATTAAATCAGAAATTTCTTCAGCCTATTGGCTGAGGCTAGGACGGCTAGGACTAAGATTTACGAGTCTTCACGACTACCGCATCCGCCGCCCGTAGATTCATCAATCCTGTTACGCTCCCTACACGCATGGACCGTAAGCAGGAGGATTCCGCCCCCCCTCCCCATCAGAATTGGCCTGCGGAATTGACCTACATCCAACGCCAATCTATCCTATTAGGTTTCTCATGGTCCCTCCCGCAAGGACAACAACGAGAATGATTTCCGAATATATCAGCCTCGCCATCGCAGAGTGGGTATGCAATATCCGCAGGCATGATTGGTAGATGGAGACGAAATTGCGTCATGAGGTGGAATAGGCGCGGCTCGACGTAGAGCCCAAGGAGAGGCGGGCACGGGCGGATTCATTGCTCGGCGCAGGCGCAAGTAGCTGAGAGACCACTGTACGGTCGAGAGCCTGGGACAGCTCGCGCTGTCGGGTCGGAAAGAAGGCGGCACTGGGACGCGCAAGTGGTCAGGCGGCAGGCCAGTCTGGCTGGAGGCAATGATGGCAACAAGGAAAATAGAATCCGGAATGAGAGATTAGATCATAGGCGCGATAGAGGGGCCCAGGCAAGCGGCGGTGGTGATAGCAAGGGAAACTATATAGGCAGCCGGCGCGTATCGATAGACGAGTTACAACCCCAAATCTCCGATCGAAGTTGCGAGGGAGGCCTGGCTCCAGGCCTTAGGCACGAGGGGACCTGCGCAGATCTTTTCCAAGTAGGCGCGGGCCTCATTATCAAAGGTCTGCAAGGCATTACCATATACTCCAGGGGGAACCACTCATAAGGCATCGGCCGCATGGCAAAACGAAACGCAGTGACGGAGGAGCAAGAGCGCAAATTGAATATGCGGCAGAGCGACAAATTCTTGAGAAGGGGTTTTGCTTTTTCCGCAGACTCCGAGATGGCGAAGGCCTCCCAATAGGCTGGGGGGTCCAATAGGCGTCGCATGAAAGGAGAAGGCGTTCCTGGAATTGATCTGAATTCCTTCTGCGAAAGCCCATATATCGACCTGATTATCGGGCCTCCCGCAGGCGATGACTTCGCACTTACTTGGGTTGAGCTCGAGTCCAACCTGACGAGCAGCGGCGGGGAGGCGGGAAAGCGCTGCAGCGGCGTGACGGTATTCGTCAGCCAAGCCCACGTCATCCAGGAAGGCAAATACAAGGTCAGGCGGGGCGAGCCCAGCGTTGGCGGCCTGTAGCACAGGCCGAAGGACCAGGGAGAAAAGGATCGAGTCGAGCGGATCTCCTTATTGGACGCCGGTTTCAGATAGTACGCAAGTCCCGTCGAAAAGGAATCGATTGAGTCGGTCATAGGTCCATTCAGTCCGCAAGGCAAGCCCGGGTATGAGCAAGCGAATCTGACGGAATAAGGCATTTCTATCAATAATATTGAATGCGTTGCGAAAGTCCAGCTTCATGAAGATTTCAGAAATATGGCTCGTATTTCGCTGCGTTCATTTCTGGATAGAACGAACAACGGATTCTTCTCCCAGAGGAATAAGAACCCCGATCTACAAGAACCAGAAGACGGATTGGGCTTCCTCGTTATAGGCTTGGCAGGAGCTCTTCCCAACAAGGGGCCTCAAAATTTCGCCAATTATAATGGTCCGGACGTCTTAATGGTCTGGACGTCGTCCGCAGCCTTGGGAAGAGTATGAAGGGCAACCCCAGCGAGGCGGGAAGCGAGCCCAAGCAGCGCCGCTGCCGAAGCGAGCAAGCGGATAACGTTGGCAAAGCGAGCCGTGATTTCATCGTAATGAGGGGAGCTGAGGGTTATCCTCAACTGATCTCACGATGTGGCAGAATTAATAGCAAGGAAGATATGTAGTAAATAAATCAATCGAAAACATATTCATATTTTTTGATCCTCTGCCTCAGAATATAGGAAGCCGCGTAGCGCCGCGAACTCAAGATTCAATAGGACCCGACCAAATATATCTTCAGCCCTTGAGCTATATATAAATAAATTATTTAATATATTAATAATCTAAATTCATATATATATTTCTTTTAATATCAATCTAAATATTTCATAGAATATATACAATCAAGAATACGAAAATTCAATTAGAATATTTATTAATATATCTAAAAAGATTAATAATCTAGAGCAAATAGCTAAATAAATCCGATAAAGCGATGAATTTAACGACCGAATATTTGAAATTATATTCATCGATCTATTTATTATTATATATATATCTCATTTCGAAGTAATCAAATAATAATATAATAATTTTCGTATTCCTAAATAAAAGATAATTATGAATCTATAAAAAAATGATAAATATCGCAATATAGAATTGAAAAAATGATAAATAAGAATCGTAATTCCATAAGAATTAATCTCATCAAGATAAATCCGATCCAATTTATTTATCTATATAATCCATAATATTCTATCAATATAAATTGATATATCATATAATAAAAATTTCAGGAAACGTTCAATAAATCGAGGAATAGAGAGATAGATAAATTCAAGAAATCCAAGAATGATAAATTATAGATGGATAGATCCGACGTATTTTCAATCTCGCCGATATACGAATCGAAATATCGATAGGCGGATAGACCGCCAGATTGAAAGAGCGACTACTGTAACAAACGAACTAACTTCAGAAATATTCGATCGAGAATGGTAGAAGATAGACGGTCAGACTCATATTGTGACAGATAGAATCACAGCCCGGCACCCTCACTGATTGACCGTCATTCCGACCCTGATAGACTGATACAGTAGACTGTGAGTTGGACTGACGGAGCTACGTTCCGAAACAGTGGGGAGCAATCTACGTCAACGATGCACAGACAGCCGGAGGGAGATAAATGAGGCGGAGGGAGGGGTGGAGGAGATTTTTGGTCGCTTCCCAGATTTTCGAAGCCTCTAGCTTGTCCTAGGGGACCGTAAAATCTCGGGAATCTCAGGAGGCATTTTACTGGAGAGCCGGAAAAGCGAGGCCCTGTACGAGCGACATGGCCACAAGTGGCCGCGCCGTTTTATTGAGGTATATAAATATACCATTCTCTAGGAATTCCACGGGTCTTTCGATTCTTCTAGAGCTTTCCTAGCATCGCAACTTGGAACGGGCAACATCTGCACTTTCATTTTCTGGGACCTATTTCCAAGCTCGTAGATCCTCTGTTCTGGTGGTCCATGCATAACGCAATGGAAAAAGGCCAGCAGATACAGAAAAGGCCTATAAGACTGATTCCTGCAGAACAGCACTTTGTGCGTTCTCGTGCTGGACCAAACTTGCCAAAACCAGACCTTTACTGTTTTAGGTCGTTGGCTCTTCGGAAAGATCGTGTTCCTTTCAATACACACTTGCTGCAAAGTGTGGTTGTGAGAATAATCAAGGCGGCAACAACACTCACTAGCGCTGCTGCGAGGCTTCTGCGATATGCTGCCAGTGTTGCACCCAAGGGAATGAAAGCGCTCAGCGCCCACAGAAAAACTACAAAAGCTGTCTGACAGAAATCCAGTCCGCGGCTCAAGAACCTTGGCTGTGCGAAGTACTTGCAGAGTCGGAAAAGAATGAGGGTTTGCCACACTCCTCAGCTGCTGGACAAAAAGCATAAAAAAGCTGATTTCTTTGTCTTGGAGCAGTGTGTGATTGTCATGAAGTGCTCATGATTGAGCACTTCAAAGTGTAACCATGCCATCCACATTTACAACACGCACACATACTTCCTCGATTAGGTTTCAGCTCTGTCGCTGGAAAAGATTGAAACCTGCAAAGTTGCTCAGATTGAAGGAGTTTATGGATCCCCGGAAAGTATGCTTCACCAAGAGCCCGAGGAACGTGTATCATCAAGGTGTCAAGACCCGTTGGCTTGATAATGATTAACTCCAACCACGCACCCAGTCAACCCGGCATCAACGGCTTCACCCTCACCTAAAAACGTACCACTAATGCTACAAGTGCAAGTGCAAAAACTCTTGTCATATGGAGCACGGCGAGGTTCCAAGAATCAACAGCGCCACCTGACCAACTAAGTACTTCTCCAAAATGTCCTGCGGTGCTTTTGCCTTCAAGAGTGCGGCAGCAGTGTCTAGCTGGAAGGAGACGACGCTGGTAAGGCCTGAGCTGACTTACTGCCTCAGGTTTAGGGTTATTTCAGGTGTGAGGTAGTGACGCTGTTCAACGTGGAGCCATGATGATAGCCGTGCTACCCATGAGAATGCACATGGAAGATGAAGGAAAGAAATCAGGGGTTGCTGTATCTAGTCGTGTGATGATTTGGCATGCAAAAATACTATGCTCTGACATGCACCCAGTCAGCTGTCCAGTTCTTAACGCAAAGAGGCACAAACGTATCATCAACAACAGCAGCAACCAGCAACAGCAACAGCAACTGCAGCCAGCAACTGCAGCAACGACAACAGCAAAAAGCATCATCACCATCATCATCAACAACCGCGATTACAGCTCAGCACAGGTGAGGTGCCGAGAACCTGAAAGCTAGTCCGTCATGGTCAACAGCAGCACTCGCTATGGCATGTGATGACCCTACACATACAGTCATAAAGGCATGAACATACGTAGTTCCCTCATCAAGTGGCGCAAGGCCAGCAGACCCACTGCAGTTTGGATGAAACCGGCAAGAACAAAGCTCAAAAGGGGTCACGCCCTGCATGTCTCATATCAGTCGTTGTCGCTAACCCGTACTTTCACAAGAATCCCTGCCCAATCCCTGACCTGCTTACAACGCTGTTCAATCAAACTTTCTCAACAGACATTCCCAGAGAAGGGGTTCATGGGGGTTATATAAGGACATATCGGGTTTTTAGGGTTTCACAAAACTCGGGGTACCTTTCCACCCCTATTATGGATAATCAAATTAAGAAAAAACCATCCTAAACGGCTGCCGCGAGACTAAGAGCACAGTAGGAGATGGGCACACGACTTTCTGCCACCACGCTCTCTAGCTCAGCTCGTAGGGGCCCTTGCACCTGAAACTCTGGGGGGTTGGTATAACCTAAAGATATGAACAAACTTTTGCTATATCTTGCCTAAGGCTGACCTCACCAGTCTTTCCAGCGAACAACACCTTGAGGTATACAAATGTGATCATAAGAATGCAGAAGCAGAAACAAAACACAACGACAATCCAAAGTCAATGGCGCTTGCAAGCATATCAGTTTCCGCGATAACGCGAAAACCCAAGTACTACCAGCAGACATTGTTTTGATTCAGCACTCCAGAATACATGTTCCCGCCATGGGCTGAGCAATAGCAGTGAGGATCATCATACCACACATGATCATCGCGATGAGGGAATAGTACTGGTTAAGACTTCGAGGCAGAAGCAGTTCTATTCAATATTGCCATAAGCAGACAACCATGAACACTTAGATGACAATGGTGCCGACGCGCTGAGTGGAACCATGGCAACTGTGATGATCGTGAAGCCCCTTGCGCTTGAAAGAAAAATGCTACTAAAATGGAAGCTTTCTGAGAAAAGCTGTGGCACATACGCAGTGAAGGCCCCTAGGCTGCCATACCATTGAGAAATTGCCCCCAAGATGAACTCGCTATCAGTCTTGCGGGTGCAAGAGATCTTGTTGATGTCAAAGTCTGCAAGATTCTTCAGCATCTGCTCCTGCTTTGCTCTGGCTGACATGGCTGCAAGCATTCATATATGATCGCTGCTGAAACGATGGTTGCTGCTAGGCTCCGTGTGACCCGCATTGTCAGAGATTAGCTGCGGCTGCTGACGTTACTAACGCTGCTTGCTACTATTCGTCTCTGTACTACCAAGGCCAACGCTGAATTGCTGACTGCGGCTCCTGCTCCTGGTATCCTCTCCTGACTGCATGCACTCCGGGCAAAAACCCTGCAAGGCAAATAGCCAGAGGGATGCTTGCCAAATATCTCCAGTTGTCACTCACGACCATCATGAAGTACAGGAACAGGAACCTGAAAAGTCATCATGTCATCGTGGTTCCCAGTTGCTGAAGCACTACATATCCGGGAGAGAAAGCATGAACAAAAAAGCCACGGAACAAACATGTGCACGGCCACAACACCAAGAAATCACGCTCAATGAACCTCCGCTGCAGCATCTGCTGTGCTTGGGGGTCGAGAGTGTCACTAAAGCACTAAATCCGCTGGGGTATCTCTAGGATCGGTCTGAGATTTGGGCTGGGGAGCATCATACCAGGGGTCACGGTGGCAAAGCCGGGTGGGTACTGTTACTAGTATCTGCAAACACTCACAGAACTACGCCCAGTGGAGTGCTGCGTAATGCTCCGCCAGCCCAGTAATCACTGCATAGAGTTGCAACTGACAATGCAATGGATATCAGCTTGCGCCCGAGCTAGCTGGAACTCTACATGATACTTTCGGTCGCACAAATCTTGCGTCGCCTCATGCAGCCCGTGCTGCAGGAGACGGCACCCTTGTTTTAGAATCTTAAGTTGTGTAGGATCTCCCATTGCATTTTGGGTCAGAATCAGAGCTTCTACTGCACGTGCTTTCAGTTTTTGGGATCAGATGGATTGATACCCAGAACCCAAACCCGAACCCAGGCCTCACGCAACATCGCACTTCCTCGTCTATAAGCGACAACAGCCCTAACAGGTTCCGATTAGTTGTTGGTGGCCAACAAATACTAGAATTGGTACTATTTATTATGGTTGTTATTACTACTATTAATTGCTATTAGCCCTAAACCCTAAGCCCATTGAATACAAATACTATTATTACTATTCGGACAAATACGATTATCTGCCCAGAAACAAAGGCTGGAACCGCAGTAGGCCTGAGGGATTTGCCTTGCGATATGCAGCAATCTCAAAAACCTGAGCTATGATCTAAACTCTTAGGGTTTAGGGTTTAAGGTTGAGTGTTCAGGGTTTAAAGTTTAGGGTTGAAGGTTTGGGGTTTAGGGCGTGCCAGATGGAAGCGCGCTTCGTGAGCGCGCGTTGGTTTCCAGACTAGCCCACCCCAAGGCCACTCGATTACTATTCTCAAGATTTTGAAGGTTCTCAACTACTTCCAAACATGGCCTTGCGGCATCAACGCGCGGCAAAAATAAGGACTGGGCTCGCTGGTCCTAAACTGACAGACCTATATACCCGCCATGGCTCCCATCACGCCACCAAGACCACCTATTTTTTACGCTCATGGGTATTGGCTGCTCTTCAAAGTTACCTCTTCACCCATACCGAAACGCATCAGAAATACTTTCAAGTTAGCGCCCGGGGACGATCTGGGACGAAGGGCCCCTTCATGGATTGTCGTATGGGGTGCCACCAGATCTTGCTGGGTCTTTCGATGAAACAAATATAGGGCTTGTGTGAGGGGACCTTCCCTTCGGCCCTTTCATAGTTCCAGCCCGCCCTGGGTCACGTCCAGCTGCCCGCAAAAAATTCTAGGGTACCTTGGGGGTGGGACAAGGTGTGAGTTGAAAAGTTTGACATGAGTTTGGGAAACATTGTGAGGCGAGGCCATGCGCTCCGGCTAGAACCTGTCACTGAATGCGTCCAAACCAAATTTAGGGTTGATTATGTGAGGGGACGTTCGGGCTCACGCAGTAAAAGTGCACTGACTACGCACATTTAGCTGAACGCATGTCCATAAGACTTTCGGGTTTGCGCTTGGGGGCGATCTGGGCCGAAGGGCCCCTCCAGAGATTCATCTCGCTCCGGGCCATGTGCGCTACTATATCTGGCTGGGCATTTCTCGCCAAAACAAAAAAAGTTTGCGTGAGACCCCTTCACTTCGGCCCTCTCATGGTTCCAGCCCGCCCCCTGGGTCACATCCTGCTGCCAGCAAGAAGCTCTACGACACCTTGGGTGCGGGGACAATGAGTGAGTCTGGGAAACATGTGAGGCAAGGCTAGGTGCTCCAGCCACGTTCAAGCAAAATTTAGAGTTGACGTCAGGGAGCGCCCTGGCCTGGGGCGGGTGGGGGGAGACTTGTCCTAAAATCAAGCAACCCCTGCCAAGGCTTGCCAGGGGTTTCACGTGTCTGCTAGGGCAAAAACGGCTCCAGACCCCCTTTCCAGGTCCTTCACGGACTCCAGGAATGGGAGCCAGCCTGGAGGCCTTTCCTGAGCGCTGGCTCAAAGCTCGCCTACCACAAAAGACAAGTGAGAGGGGTGGCGAGTTTAAGGTTAGGGGTTTAGGCACTAAACTTCCAGGATCCACCCTAATAACCACCATAACACTCCCTTATATAATCCCCTAGATAAGCCCCGTCAAGGACTTTAGACTATAGCCCATCTCAATTTTCAGAAGCTGCTGCAGACATGTCAGGCGCTAAGGGTTACATGTAGGAGCCTGCATAGCTGGAATATGATTTTGAGCTATAAAACTATAGATATAAAACGGGTGCGTGGCATTTTTGAAGCCCTAAACCGTGAACCCCAGCCCCAACCCCTAAACCCTAAGCCCTAAACCCTATAAGCCCCTAAACCCTAAAGCCTAGCAGAATGCTGCTTGACTGCCGGACAACTTGGCATTGACTTGCTCTGCGCAAGCACGTCAAATAAGCATATATGATAGCTTCCAAAAATAGGGGGACCCCAATATAGACCCCCAAATACTACAATCCCCATCATGGGGACCTCCAAAATGGTGCTCCTAATTTGGGAAACCTCCCATATTCTAAGATGACAAAGGTCCACAGCTGGGTTGTCCCGGCCCAAGGACTGATTGGCCCAACATGAAATAGGCAAACTAACATATTCTGGGCGTTTGCCATCACAGCCTGGAAACGCACCATAGGCGCCAGAAATAGGGTGGGCTCCACAAAATTCGAAGCTCGTTGGACATGGCAAGATATCCGCCGATATTGTAGATGCCCCGCTCACGCTGCACAAGGTCTGTTTGGTGGATGCATACGACATCCTGGGCTTTGGTTAATGGTACAGTGTTCCTGGTTCTGGTGGTTCTGGTGGCATAGCCTCATTGCTGCACGGATTCGGTAGATATGAGTCGTCCCTAACATCTGGTGCTGATTTGGGCCATATGTAGAGAACAGAAACAGCTTGCAGCTGAAAGATCTGAATCCGGTAGATCTTCGGGCAACGCGACTAATTAGAAGGGCACCTTCCGGAACACCCATCAAACCGATCCAAGTATCGTAGAAGCAGTTTCGCACTCCGCAGCGGTTGGCAGGCGAGTATGGGGACAGCAGCAAGGCGCTGGCTGCAAAGCAGAACGACAACAGATTTATCCACGGTCCACAGGCAATTCGTTCCCTGTAAGTTTCATACGTGTTCCTTACTGCTGCAATGTACTGAGATGCGGGAGGCTAATGCAGCAATCAAAAAGTAAATCAGGCGCTCAAAACGTGCTGAAGGGCAGGCAAGGTTCACATAGCTGAAGGGCATGGGCAGCAAGTCCGTGTGATAGGCAAGAAACAGCAGGGTGGCGGCAACAAACCATGCCAGAACTGCATGATGCCAGTAGGAGCTCAACAGCAGGGAACGGAATTTGTGATATCCTGGAGTCCTTGGAGTTGGACCGTTTTGACTGACGGCTCGTGCTACAATGGGCGACATGTACCATGAATGAGGTGGGTTTTTGTGCACACGTGTCTTTGCCTTGCCAAGTCTTGTAGGCTCTCTGTGCTCTTGGATCTGGACAGGTAGCGCATTGTAGATATGCTTTAGTAAGACTCAGGCAGATACCCCAACCTCTGTTTCGAAGTTCATTACACATGGACAAAGCTACCAGGGCGAGCTGTACGTGTACAAGGGATACCGCGCCCCGCGCTTGAGGGCGAAAGCAAACTCCTGAAGTTCCTGAACATTCCGTGAACCATGCTGCAGGAACCATGCTCCAATCTAACAGCTCTTAAACCTGGCATGCATCTCTACGATACCATGATCTGGCAATCGAATGCGCTCGAACACTAATGTTGCCATGATATGGGCATGGATGCACAGGTAACTGCATCCTCTCAGGGATGAACATTATTATGGTTTGGGCACGGCTGTTCTGCCAAGATTAAATTGGAATGGTAATGATTGCTCACGTCACCGAAGGCACGCAAACACAATCGTTTTTGAGATGGTTTGGGCATGGATGCGGTGCTGGCAATTGCATGCTCCCCGGGATTAACTTTTTCGTGTGGTTTGGGGATGCCATGATAGGATGACCTGACCTGCTCTATGATCGCGATGAGGACGCAGTACCAAACGTGGTGCATGGGAAGCCCTGCATGTGGTAAAGCAATGCGTATGGAACGAAGGGGTGTACATGGAACGGGAGAGGACTCGATGATCCACACCGTATGGATCGTAACTACTGTCCCTGCGCAGCCGGCTCCCAAATATCTAAAGGCATTAGAAAATCAGCCCAGGTGTCTTCCACGTGTGTGATAGGAAGATATCCACCGAATCTGCTTGTGCTGACTGCTGCCAGAGCCTTTGCAGCTGATTCTCAGACCTGAGTGACAAATGACGTTAGGTTAAGGGTTGCGTCTTTGAAGTGATTCTTGGACGTGGCAACCATAATGACAGCAGCAGCGGCGGCGGCGGCAGCAGCGGCAGCAGAAGGAAGAACGAGAAGGTGGAAGGCAAGATATACGACAACGACGGTCGCCGCGATGACGACAATAATGATGACCGTACTGACAACGCGACGTAATAGGAAACAGTTCGCGAAGGACTATCCTGCTGAAACGAGGACAGCAGGCTGACGCGGTAGTTTGAAGTTGCAGAAGACACACGGTTCCTTTTAGACTGGCCAGTTCATTGGTTGCAGACACTTGTTGCAAACTCTGCACCGAAACTCGGAAGTGAACGTCCCAAGACCATGCCAATGCTAACCAGGTGCAGCTTCTCTGGACGCAGGCGCCATAGCCATCCGCATGCTTGCAGTGTGGAGGCTAGCGGCACGCAGCGTATCGCCTGAAATGGCTCTACACATCTACTGATGCTCCTCATATTTAACCCAAGCCAGGCAAGATACGCAGCTCGCTAAGCAGCACAGGAATGCGCTCTAGTGGTTGGGATCCCTCCCATCTCTTTGCAAATCGCTCGGCAAGAAATGTCCAGACGCTCTGTGGGGCTTAGCGTGCCAGGAGTTGCGACTATGATGTCAGCGGAGGTTTGGTGAAATGGTCCAACTGTGTTGAGTTCCGTCATTTACGTAATTTCATCTCGGCGGGTGGTTCCCACTAAGCCTATCCTTTGCAGACCTAAGGAAACAAATTTACCCCAGAGGTCTCTGGTCTCTCGCGCCAGCTGCTACAGTCCTGTTGGGTCTCAGCGGCTTCAGCATCGTTGTTTTTTTACATTAATCTCTGTGTACAAAGCCGAGAAATACTTGGCGGGGAGGTGCTTTCTCTCGGGGTGTCTGACTCTCTTGTCCTCTCCGGGTTTCTCAGCTCTTCCGAAAATGTACAGGGATGCTGAACAACTGAAAGCTTCGCCGGTGTCCACAGACAGCTGCACATCCTAAGTCAAAGAAGAACCCCAGAACTAGAGCCAACCCTCCTTGAGTAAAGAGGCATAGGTGTCCATTCGTGGGGTTTTGGGAGCTAGAAAGCCCAAAAGGTAATCGCAACCAACCCTGCCAGGGATCCATGGAGCTCGACCTGGGATTAATGAAGTTCAGCTCCATGGAACCGGACGACTGTCTCGATCCGATGCTTCGCTTGCTGCTTCGTCGGACGCCGGCTATAGCCTAGGCTCCCAATTTGCAAACTCTTGAGTGGCAACCCAGCACCCAGCGGACATAACGTTGCTGGGAATAACAAAGGAAGGCTACTTAAAATGTTATTTCTGGAGAGGTAATCCTGCAAGGCCCTGGAGTGCCGACTACTGAGTGCAGGGGATGCAAATACCTGAAAGCGTCGTTCAGCCTTCTTTAACAGGTTATGATCATTCATGGTGGTCATGCCACTACATGGATCATATGGATCGCTAACCATGCTCAGACAATTTGCCGACTTTTGAACCTCGAAGCCTGTTCCCGTGCATCGGCCAAGCCTTTTGATGGCTGCAAGAGGCTCTCGGGAACGTCCGGCGGAGCGGTGCTGTCTGCTTGGAGCATTGCATCGCAATCCACAATGCACAGTGATTGATCAAGGTCCTCACTACCGAGCACCGGCCACTTTGCTGGTCCAAGCACGTCATCATGTCCTTCCTTCGCTGCTGAAAGTCATCAATCGCGAGAGATAGCATGTAATTAAGTATACATGGTGGTTTAGATGATTCGCCCTGTGCTTCAACTTGTGCTACAGAGAACAACCTTGTTGAGGTAGCACATTACTGTACTTGCCAAGAATATTATAAAGTCCAGGTGCAAGCAATGCAACAATCTCCTTTATTTCCTGGTTACGTAACGGGATCAGACTGGCTTAGGGATTCGGAGGCTTTCTTGAAGGGCGCCCGATCACTTGGTAGCTCTGAGTCACGAATGAAATTGAGGGCCTTCAGAGGGCTTCGATGATATTGCAGTGCCTTGTGACTATGCAATCCTATTTGCAGTGTCTATACAGTCCCGGTCAGTACAATTGTTATCAATGGGCTCCTGTGAGGGAGAGCCTGAATACTCAAAGTTGAGTTGGACAGGGAGTCCCACAAGCACTTGACACGCGGCCACTAATTCATTGTGGGTTATATTCGGATCATGGAGACGAAAATGGAAGCTACTGTAGTATGTTGGGGCTATATTCATATTGGGATTATGGAAAAGAAATTGAAGCTACTGTAGTATATTGGGGTTTAGATAGGGATTATGGAAAAGAAACGGAAGCTACTGTAGTATATTGGGGTTTATATAGGGATTGTGGAAAAGAAATGTACACTACTATAAGGTAGTTCCTTCAGGCACCTGCTACAGTAGTAACAGCAGCCCAGTCTCCGTGTTGCATTCCACCGCTTGGCAGCAAGCTTCATGCCACTCCGCGGGCCACTGCATGGCTCCTACATGTTCTGTATACTTGCAAGCCGGACCGCCCCTTGAATGTTCTTCGCCTGTACTAGAGGCCTGAAGAAGTAGCAGAAGACTTTCTAGTAGATTGTATAGGGGGTCTGAAAGCGCATGATGATCAGCTAGTCACGCTTCTATACCACCACGTGTTCAAGCCTCTTTAATTTAGTTCTACTAGGACTCCGAACCCTGGAGTCTGGATCGTATTTCGTCCACGATCCAGGCCATGGCTGCGCACAATTCAATTCTGCCAGGCTAAGCAGACCTACATGCCGAATTTGGGCTTCCTGACAAGGGTGAGTCCTTAGGGCCGAGGGGGGGTCCTTCTCATATTATAGATGATGTACAGGTATCTTGACAAACTTCTATATCCCTGCCATCGAACGGGAACTGTGCAGTTGCGCTGGGGGCCTCGGAAGACCATATGAACATACCAGGCAAGTACGGATTCACCATCACAGGTAAGGACCGTCGGCCCCATACCGACTGATGCAAAAGTTCTGCCTTTGTGGCAAGGCAGAGACATGGGGATAAGAAAGAGATGGACTTGAAAGTAGAATGAACATCTGGCTGAGCCAGCTAGCGAATTAGATGGTCCAGCTAGATGGATACATAGCAAGGCAGCTATCATTTTGTTTTGGGGCGACTTCTCTCTTGCTACTTCCAACGGAGAGCTTCGCGATGTCAAGCTAGGGAAAGATCCACGATGCTCTTGTGGCTTATATTGGGATTATATGGGGATAATGGAAAAGAAAATGAAAACTACTATAGTGGGTTATATAGGGTATAGAACATGGGGTATCTGGGGTGAATCAGGTCAGACCCCTGCTTCATGTCTCCCAACAGGCGTTTGTAGTCGGGGGGACAAGAGGAATGAACAAGGAAACTCCTCTGAAGCAGAATGACTTATGATGGCATAGGGTAGCTCAAGCCTTAGGCTCGAAGAATCCTCTAATGGTCGCTGCGGGCATTGCAGCCTACAGTGATAACGCATGACCCATGAAACACAGTGACTGCCGACCTTGACCGCAAACTGGATTATAACAGTATTAACAGGGCCGCTACTGCTAAGTGGGATGAACTGAACCCTGGCAGCCTGCAGGTCTTTTGACTTCCAGCAAGGGCAATACAGTCATTGCCTGGTAGTCGTTATGATGCTCGTTATCTTCCCTGCTGCTGCTTTGCAGTCTGAGGGGGGGGCAAGACAGCAGCTTGGGCTTTGCGAAGTGGCTTCTGCATTCTTGCTAGTACTCTTCAGGTAAGACTTCGGTTTCTGGGTGCCCAGGCCACTGCTCTGCGAATGCTAGAAATCCATTTCCACCATCGGGGATTCCGTTTCCACTGGCTGCTCCCGCAGCAGGTTGCTCGTTCTGCTGCCTGGCCCCCCAACAACCACTCCAAAACAAGAGGGAAACCAGGAGCCCAAAAATGGTACTAACCAGGTACTCGTTGGACCTAGTTGCGCATAAGAGTGGGCTTTGCTGCGAGATCCCGGAGCTGCTTCTCCATGAGGAGGGTTGTCTGCAGGATCTTGCGTACATCCTGCGTTCTTGAGCTTCTAGTTCAAGTTTATTGGGTTCAGGGTTTAGGGTACGTGAAGACATTGGGGCGCTGCGCCCCTCTCACTTGGTATGACTACCTCCACGGAAACTACTGCTACCACAAATCCTTCACTTCCTTCTCATCGATAGTCAGGCTTAGCAATTGCGTTAGCATGCTGAACTTGTCAAATGGAGCTTGGGAACAATAATCATGTTTCAAGAAGAGAGCGCATGCACATGCTACCATCAACATCTACCAGATTGCCATAGGATCCATAATATCACTGGACTGGACTGGGGTGTTGGGCCATAGTCATGTGCGGATTCATAATAGCAGCTACGCACACTCCTTTAATCGCCCCGCGCACCAGGCTTAGTTGGATTATCGCTTGCAGCTCAGAAAATTAAAGCTGAGGGCGCCTAGCCTAACCGACTTAACGAGGTCTTCAAGCAAGGGTTCGTGCTATTTTGGGTCCACATATATAAACCCTAAACCCTAAACCCTATACATAATATATATATATATTCACCTGCACTATGGAGGGCCCCTCTGGAGACAGTGCAATGATTGAGCGGAGCCCAGCTACACGCAACCCTCAATTCCATTCACTCCAGAGGACAGAAAGGCAAAAGCCACCCGTATATACCCTACTATAATGTAGGGTTTAGGGTTTAGGGTATAATGTAGTAGTCTCCATTTTCTTTTCCATTATCCCCATACAACCCCAGCATATTCCCTTATTCCCTAGCCATATGGCGTCCTTGTAGCCTTCAAGTGCAATCTACAACCAGAAAATGATTTCCCCTCATACCTTACAGCCTGACAAAAAAAAGTCGTATGCTTGAAGCCATGAACCCCGGGCCCTTAAAGCATCAGACTCTTTGCCCAAAGAACTCACGGGTGCCTAGTAGGGAATAAGGGAATATAATCCCTATATAGGTTTTTCCCTGCTTCCCTACTATAACCCCTGACCCTAAACCCTAAATAGTGCTTTCCATTTTCTTTTCCATTTTTGCTACAAAAGCCCTATATCATAACCCATTATTTCCCTATTCCCTACTAACCCCTAAACCCTAAACCCTAGACCCCCCAGTAAGCTACACCAACCCGGAGTCCTGCGCTTTGCCAGTCCCGCTGAGTCTCGACACGCCCTGCACGAGCTCCAGGGCCGACAAGCGACCATCCCCTGCTCAACTATGACTCAATGGGGGGTTAGTAGGGAATAAGGGAATATATGTATGTATCATATACGTATATATATGTATATATATATATAAATAGGGTTTAGGGTTAGTGCTGAATAAGGGAATATCGGGATATCATATAGAGTTATGTGGGGATAATGGAACACAGAATGGAGACGCTTGCAGGCAAAGAGTTCGATTCCTTGGGATGTTGTGATACTTGGGCCTGACACGGCAATGCAGTGCTTGTGGTGACCAGTAATAGTGCGTAAGTATAAGGGGTAATGGTGTTTACAATAGAGTCCTCTCATCCACTGTTACAGGTTGGGGGGGTCACCAAACCCATCACCCTCAAGTCGGGCAAAAGGCTCCCGGCCGCACCTGCCGTGTTTAACATGTTGAAGAGCTCCTCGACGTTGCTCACGTCCAAATCCATGGCTGCAAGCCAGACTTTGATCTCGTGTTTCTTGAGAACATGTCTGAACTCCTCTGCATCACGGCTGCGCAGGGACTGTAGGGGCCTGTACGATAGGAGGTGCGTGATATGCACTTTTCAGAGCGGATTCCATTGAGTTTTGACTAGACTTGAACGGCTTCTGGTTAGATTTTGCTTGATTTTAAAGCGGATGCTATAAGGAAATAAAACGAATTTTGAGAGAATCACAATCTAATTCTTTCAATGTGATAAACATCACCCTTATGTTAATTCATTTTTTGGGGCCCGGACTATTTCATATTCACGGCGGCACGGGTTTTCATATTATTGGGAAGCGATTAACATGACTATCTGGGAATTTCTCAGAATTGCCTGGTTTACGCAAAACGAATCGGAACTACAACAGTACAAATCTAGAATTCGCAAAGGCTGGAAGCCCTGAACCTTCACGTACTCCCCCGGCAACACCAAAACCTGAACCATAAACAGGAAGAGTCCTCGAGATCCAGCTTGCCATCCCCAGAAGTGTCCGCTTCGTGAAAGAGCTCAGACATCTTGGCCACGTGCGCCCGCTTGGCCTTTGGAGGTCTTGAAAGATGATTTTTCCCGGGACTGCAGTGAGGGGTGTTGCTTTTGGATCTAGGTCTCAGGATGTCTTAGGATGGAGATTGTGAAGTTCTTGCGGCTTAGCTTTCGACGCACCAGAGGTTCCTTCAAACACCTCCTCAAGTGTTTAGATGCTGAATGGTGAGTGCCGCATCTTTGGAAACTTGCTGCGCTCTAGATAGCGGGCCGCTGCAATACAAACGCTGGGTGGCCCCCATGATCTGAAACTGTGGATCTCAGTTCTCATACAGGCATGGAAGGATCGCTGGAATCGACAATGTTTCCATTCAAAAGGAAGGACAAGAGGATGGTGCTCTGGGCTGGGGCCGTTACCTTCATCTTTTCACGGACCATCACCGTGTCGTCCAAATAAGCCACCTGCAGGAAAATTCGAGGCTAGTGAAGGCCGCGCGTTAACGACACAGACTTCAACTTGTAGTTCAAAAGTACTGCTGGCGCCTTGAAGGTTTCCTGCATCAGGACAGCATTGATTACGCCGATCACTGCGAAGCCTCATTTCTGACTCTGACCGTTGCAAACGGAAGGACTTACCAAGAAACTACATAGCCATGCTTAAGCTTCGTTCGAGAAGTGCAAAAGACTTGCAAGCACACACCCTACCCTATCAACCCTACCTGAGCCTAAACCTTCGTGTCAGGTCAGTGGACCGCAGCCTTCATCCCCAAGTCCCAGGGGCCCATGGTCAGCTTGTGCACGAGGCAGGCCACAATCCACCAGTCGCTCACATCTTCGGCAAGCAGGCGGCATATGTGCCTTAGACCGTTGTGGCTCGATGACACAAGACATCAAGTCAGGTTTCTCAAAACGTTGGGCGACTCTGTGAAAAAGAAGTGAGGACTATATGGATCAAAGACTAAGAAGTTGTTCTTGTTCTAACCTAACTCTGGTGGAATGCCTGCAGCTTCGGTAGGCCATCTGACCTGTCCTGAAACCCGGACCATCTCAAATTCTGGTAGCTTTTGGTGGACAGGTTTCGTCCGGTGGCGACGTGTTGCCCGAGCAAAGGCCCAAGGGAAAAGATCCCCGCGATCCATATCACAAAACACCTCACGATTCACAACAATCCTCTCCCCCCAATATTCAAACCTCCACGCACGCTAATATTACATATATTTCCCACATTTCATAGTATACCACGATGGAAAACTCTCATATTCCGGGAGTGGGATTACCATGTCGAAGCTTGGATACGGCCAGTTCGCGAGCAGCAGCTCAAAGAGGGAGAGCAGAGAACGACTGAAGGTGCCAAAGTACTCGTAAACCTTGCGTGCGTATGATTTCGAAACAAGCACTTAACTACCATAGAAGCCAGAATCTTTGGACTAGGCTTGTTTCAATGCGTTGTACTAGGAATATCTCAGGCTAGTAAGCCAAGAAGAAGGTTTCTGGCCCACTCATTTGGGTGCTTGTCAAAATTATGGCCCCTTTGTGGGTACCCCAAATATAAGGTGCCGTATTATAATAGGGATCCAAAAAGACCTTAATTTTGACATATTTTGACAACCACCCATTTACGTAGTTGCAGGCCAAGATGCAGCAGCTTCCAAGGATTTCGAGCTAAACATTGTTAACGGCACCCCACCCCCACACCCTGGTAGGACGACTTCATACCTTTTCTCAGGGGTCGTCCGGGCCGAGACACCATGAACCCTAAACCCTAAACGCCGGCTCAACGTCCGTATGACCAAGAAGCTCGAAGTTGGGCATCTTGATCCGGTGCAGTTGGGTCAAAGAAGTAGCCTGAAGGGTTTAGGGTTTAAGTAGCCTGAACCAGGATAAGTTTGTACGTGCTCGTTGCCATCCTTACTGGCATTATTAACCTTCATTCTCTCGGAAGCAGTCTTGATCCCTAAGCCATTCTATATAAATGGGTGGACCACTATGTCCCTACGAACTATAATTGTAACAATAACAGCAACAGTCATTAGATATATGCGAATACTCGAAGAAGTATGAAGAAGTAGGGTGTGGGACATCGAGCTGCATTGTTACACTGACTGTTGAGCTCTGACTACTGGGCCCAGCTCTAGAAAAGTCATTTGGAAACTAGTCCTATGTCTAGAGTCGCTAACCCTAAACCGTAGATGGTGTAAACAAGCAGGCGGCCAAACAGTAGCTGCTGGACAACCAATGCGAAGAGCAGCCTTAGATGCTCTTCCGCTAGTTTTGATCCTGTCTTCAGCATGTAGGCGAGAGGGTGGGAGGGGGATAAAAGATGGCGCATCAAACAAACTCGGAAATCATCATGCCCAGAAACTGGCAAATGAGAAGCAGCGCCACCTAGGCAGTCTCATCGGCATGGGGGGAGAGCACATAGGATACGTTGAAAGTTACTAGCCCATCGCGATGAACCCATTACACATCAAAACACCAGCACCAACCCACAACGGCAAACCATGTTTTTCATGCTGAAGCCCCAAGCAACACATATGTTGAGAATTCCCACTGAAATGGCCGCCTTGTTACGAGCATCGAAGCAACAGCTTTTGAATTACCAGCACAAACATCGAAGGAAAGCACAGGGTCCTTGCCCAAAATACACAGTAATCCTGAGAAGTGGCCATTGGTGAAATAGGGTTATATTTGTAATCTTAGGGTATGATTAGGGTTGTATTAGGGTAATATTAGGGTCATATTAAGATTTTTAGCATGGATGCAAGACAAACTTCTCCCAGGATGTGATCAGAGGGATTCCTACAACCTTCCAAACGGGCCTCCATAATCTTCGTCTCATCCCCGGGTACTGGAGAAACCTCCACCACTTACTCCTTGTAAAAAACCGCATATCATATTTTCCCCCACTACAAGGCCATCTAGGCACGGTCCATCCAAGGACTGACACACTGCTTCGAATGGCAGTAGTCATTAGGAAGAGCGCGTCGAACTGCTGTATCTTTCGGACCAGCCCTGGGCATCCAGGCAACAAGGGAGCTTTGTGTCATGATGAGGAAAATTTGGCCAAACCCAATCCCTAATATGAGTAACCGGGTCCTTGTCACAAGGGGTTTGGTTTACAAAAATACCCTCTTGCTGAGTAGGGATTTTGCCTAACGTGTCCCTGCAAACAAAGTCACTCTGAACGGGCACTCCATTACCAGTTCGCGCATCCTGTTATGCAGGAGCTCCCATGTAGTTCCTCTCTGGGTTCGTTATGCTTTTTTTGTGGGGCACTGAAGTATACTATCCAAAAAAGAACTAATGTTGGACCCTGTTTAGTATGTACGCCCCCCCCCCCTCCCCCCCAAACAATTTTAGGACCCTGAATCAAGAATTGTTTGAGGGGGGCCGGGGGGCCCGGGGGCCCAGGTAAAT